TTTTGAGAAATTAATATTTCATAATTTGGATTTTTGAGAAATTGGCGATTTAGAAATTTGGAATTTTGAGAAATTAATATTTGAAATTTTTGTCGTTTGAGAAATTGAATACTTGTAAATTTACACTTTTAAGAAATTAATATTTGAAATTGTTGGCATTTGAGAAATTGAATATTTGGAAATTTGGACTTTTAGGAAATTGATGACTTGTGAATTTAGACTTTAGAGGAATTGGATATCTGGAAGTTTGGACTTTTGAGAAATTAATATTTGAAATTGTTGTAATTTGAGAAATTGAATACTTGCAAATTTACACTTTTGAGAAATTAATATTTGAAATTTTTGAAATTTGGGAGATTGAATATTTGGAAATTTGGACTTTTGGGAAATTGATGACTTGTGAATTTAGACTTTTGAGGAATTGGGTATTTGGAAATTTGGACTTTTGAGAAATTAATATTTCATAATTTGGAATTTTGAGAAATTAATATTTCATAATTTGGATTTTTGAGAAATTTATATTTGGTAATTTGGACTTTTGAGAAATTGGCGATTTGCAAATTTACACTTTTGAGAAATTAATATTTGAAATTTTTGAAATTTTTGAAATTTGAGAAATTGAATATTTGGAAATTTGGCCTTTGGGAAATTGATGACTTGTGAATTTAGACTTTAGAGGAATTGAGTATCTGGAAATTTGGACTTTTGAGAAATTAATATTTGAAATTGTTGTAATTTGAGAAATTGAATACTTGTAAATTTACACTTTTGAGAAATTAATATTTGAAATTGTTGGCATTTAAGAAATTGAATATTTGGAAATTTGGACTTTTGGGAAATTGATGACTTGTGAATTTAGACTTTTGAGGAATTGGATATCTGAAAATTTGGACTTTTAAGAAATTAATACTTGAAATTTTTGAAATTTGAAAAGTTAAATATTTGAAAATTTGGAATTTCGTGCAACATATTGTTCTTCCTTGAAGTAACCTAAATGAGAAACAGTATTTTGAAAGTGACATGCTTTCTCTGTTGTCTTGCTAAAAATAAAAGAGGCAATTCTGATGGACAAATCTGTATTCTACAGATCGTTATAAAAGTGTAGCGGGAATAAAAGCTCGTAACGAATGATCCTGCAAATATTGCAGCTTTTTCATTTATTGAAATCGATGAACGTGAGTTCATATGGTGTTCTCGGAACTCGATACTGATGAATTTCTCTGCAATACACCGAATGAATCCAATTCCCTCTGAAATTGAACAATCTCGACACATGTCACGATATACAGGAAAGCACATCGTGCTGTGTAACATTGTTTACAGGTGAGGCTTACAAATCTATTTTCGCTGATGAATCTACGTATGAAGATAAAGAAATTTGTGAAATTTAATATAAAATGCTTTAGAGAAAAGTATATTTTTTTACAGCTAATATTTACAATATTTAATTTACAATACTTTCTACTAATCTGTTTTTTAAAAAGTTTAGAAGATTTTTAAATATGTATGCTTGTATTAAATTATGATTAAAAATCTTAATTTTTGTATTTAAAAAAAAACTTGTGTATAGGTCAAATATCTTCAAAGTTAAAAACTTGTATTTTTTACATTGCTGAATTTAAAAAAATGTAAAACTTGTAAACAAACAGAGAGCACAGTTTACATTTAGCACACAAGGATATCTAAAAAAAAACTCTATTAAATTGATAAAATCATTGCATATGTATAAAATCTTTTAAATACAAAAAATATTTATATATAAAATCTCCAAATAGAAAATTTGTGAATATGAAAAATCATTGCACATAAAATCTTTATATACATATAAAAAATCTTCACATATAACATCTCTTAAATACAAAAAATCTTTTCACATCAAATTTATGCAAAAAAATGTTTATATAAAAATTTCTAAATATAAAAAGTTTTTGTATGTAAAATCTTTAAATATAAAAATCTTTTCAAATAAAGTCTCTGAAGTAGAAGAAATCTTTCTGTGTAACACTAAATACAAAAAATGTAATTTGTTGAGTGGTGTAATGCAAAAAAAGATTGTATATAAAATTTCTAAATATAAAGTTTTTTTATGTAAAATCTATAAATATAAAAATCCTTTCAAATAAAGTCTGAAATAGAAAAAATCTTTCTGTACGACATTAAATACAAAAACTATAATTTGCTAAGTGGTGTAATAAACTTTTTACTTTCGTCTCCAAAAATAACCTAAAATTGCTTTAAAAAAACATGAGCAGGTGTGTCTATATTAAACACGCGAATTAATCATTATCACGTACATCTTATTCGAATAGAAAGTGGCATGATTATCGTTTTTCCTTTCTTCATTCATTGTTGCGAATGAAAGCGGTATTCCGCTTGATTGGACACAAAATTTGCCGTCTCATAATTCGAACAAACAATCTAGAATACCGCGTCGCTGTATCAGCTCGCTACTAATTAAATCAAGATATAATTGTGCTCGCCCCAAACGCAGCAATTTGTTCTAGTGACTTTGAATTTACTCGGAGTGTTGAGTTAATTGGGCTTTGCTGATTGTACGCGGAAAATGTTAGTAATCGTTTCTGTAATGAAATCTTGCAAAATATTAAATGCTGCATCAGTCAATTATTATTATTATTTAATAAACAAAGATACGTTATAATGAAATAAATAATACGGAATGTTTCATGTAACACTTTTCACATCACACTTTGTAATGTTTTCACAATTTTTTAAGAAAGATAATCTGACGAAAAATATTTTAAATAAAAGGTAGTTTTCGTTTGATTGATAAACAAATTGCAATGAACAATACTAATGAAATTTTTCTATAATTCTCAAGATCATAATTGTCATCTATAAGTTTGAAGATCTTCTTTTTTTTTTTAATGAAACTTTGTATTTTTTACTTAACAGTATTATTGTTAATATTTGAAATTTTAAGATGAAATCAACGATCTAATGTATGGTAACCTTCAGATGACATTGAAGGCACAGAAATAAAAATTTTAGTGGAAAATGATAAACTGCTTGAATGGGTGATAATATACATACATATATTAAAGATATGTTTAATAATAATATACTTAAGAACTCATCATTAAATATTTAATTTGAAAGTACTCATGTACAACAATTACAAGTACTGTTTTGCAACATGATACATTATATTATATACATATATGTATACATTTATAATGACATAAGTGTTAACTCATTTACATGAAATATTTAGCTTAAGAATAATGTATCACATGTGCTATTTTGCTATACACATATTATATTATATGCATTATTTTATAATGATGTGACACAGTTGGCACTTTATAACATACTATATTAGATATATAATAAATTTTCAATATTCCATATCCTCATATTCCTCAAATTCCTCAATATAGAAATCTTTAAATTTCCAAATTTCCAAACTTCTAAATTTCTAAATCTTCAAATCTTCAAATTTCCAAGCTTCCAAACTTCTAAGTTTCTAAATCTTCAAATTTCCAAACTTCTAAGTTTCTAAATTTTCAAATTTCCAAACTTTTAAATTTCTAAATCTTTAAATCTTCAAATTTCCAAGCTTCCAAACTTCTAAGTTTCTAAATCTTCAAATTTCCAAACTTCTAAGTTTCTAAATTTTCAAATTTCCAAACTTTTAAATTTCTAAATCTTTAAATCTTCAAATTTCCAAGCTTCCAAACTTCTAAGTTTCTAAATCTTCAAATTTCCAAACTTCTAAGTTTCTAAATTTTCAAATTTCCAAACTTTTAAATTTCTAAATCTTTAAATCTTCAAATTTCCAAGCTTCCAAACTTCTAAGTTTCTAAATCTTCAAATTTCCAAACTTCTAAGTTTCTAAATTTTCAAATTTCCAAACTTTTAAATTTCTAAATCTTTAAATCTTCAAATTTCCAAGCTTCCAAACTTCTAAGTTTCTAAATCTTCAAATTTCCAAACATCTAAGTTTGTAAATTTTCAAATTTCCAAACTTCTAAATTTCTAAATCTTTAAATCTTCAAATTTCCAAATTACCAAACTTCTAAATTTCTAAATCTTCAAATTTCCAAACTTTCAAACTTCTAGATTTCTAAATCTTCAAATCTTCAAATTTCCAAGCTTCCAAACTTCAAAATTTCTAAATCTTCAAATTTCAAAACTTTCAAACTTCTAAATTTCTAAATCTTCAAATCTTCAAATTTCCAAGCTTCAAAACTTCTAAATTTCTAAATCTTCAAATTTCCAAACATCTAAGTTTGTAAATTTTCAAATTTCCAAACTTCTAAATTTCTAAATCTTCAAATTTCCAAACTTCTAAGTTTCTAAATTTTCAAATTACCAAACTTCTAAATTTCTAAATCTTCAAATTTCCAAACTTCTAAGTTTCTAAATTTTCAAATTACCAAACTTCTAAATTTCTAAATCTTCAAATTTCCAAACTTCTAAGTTTCTAAATTTTCAAATTACCAAACTTCTAAATTTCTAAATCTTCAAATTTCCAAACTTCTAAGTTTCTAAATTTTCAAATTACCAAACTTCTAAATTTCTAAATCTTCAAATTTCCAAACTTCCAAACTTCTAAATTTATAAATTTTTATATGTTTAAGTCTCCAAAGTTTGGAGTCCCTAAATCTCCAAATTTCTAAATCCGCAAATCCATAAATCCACAAACCTATAAATCTAAAAATCCATAATACATATTATTATTATTCTTTTGTAATAACATAAAATAAATGATATCCCATTATTACAAAATACTGAACTTACACCTAATATAATACAAGTGCTATTCCATAACATATCATAATATACAATATTGTATTATAATAACATAACATAGACGCCATTTTTCCATATGAACAAATTTACCATCTGATATTGAACTATAACATACAACCTAACAATTTTAAATGAATTTCAAGTTTTTACATTTTCAAGCCACTTCTACCGTCATCTAAAATCGACAAAAAAGTTTGACGTCATCAAGTTTTTAATTAAAATTCCAGATGAGCTGCAATTGTCCATTAACCCCGTCGACTGGTCCAACTTTAGCGTCAACATGTGGCGGTCCATCTTTCATGCTCTTTATGGGTCTTCTAGAAGTATTTCTTCGCAGCCAATGCGACCTTGAGGACCCATGTAACAGACCTCAGCCACCTCCCACTGTGAACTCCAGGTAAGATTAAAAAATGTCATTTATTTTTTTTTTTTTTCTTTTTAATTTTATCTGTGAATCGTCTGGGTTCTCGACAGCCAAAAGGTGAAGTTTTAAAAATATATGCTGTTTTGGGGATTGAGTACAAGCGTGCATTGAATGTACAAGGAGTAGAATGCAGGTTTTTTAAGTTAAGAGAATAATCATTGATGAAGGGTATTAATAATTATTATTACAGGGGTTATGTCGATTATTATTAATATGATTATTATTATTATTACGAAAGTCCTATGTTTTGTGATAAAATGAAGTGGTAAAATTACTGACAAAATTAGGCAAATTTTGTTAAAAGTCAAACACACACAGTTTTCGATATTAAATAAGATTTTTGGAGTGCAACGTTGCTCATTTGAAGAAGGAAAGTTGAATGAGTGGTTTGCTCATTAGTGCGAGTTGTGTGAAGTGATTGACACCTTGTTATTATATGTAATTCTATGCGGAGACATTTGAAAGATATGTTGCAATTCACAAATTTTTAAATTGCAATGTTCTAATTTTTTGAACGTTCTAATTTTAAATTTATGATGTTCTAATTTCATAAACCTTCAAATTCATAATTTTTTTATTTCCCAAATTTTCAAATTCACAAATTTCTAAATCCTGAGCACCCAAAATTCTAAATTCGCAAATTTTTGAATTATCAAATACTCAACTTTTCGAATTCATATACTTAGGAATCTACAGATTTCTAAACCCTTAAATCTACAAATCTACAAATCTACAAATCTACAAATTTACAAATTTACAAATTTACAAATTTACAAATTTGCAAATTTATAAATCTACCAATCTACAATCAAGTAACGTTCAATCCAGGAATTTTCCATCTACAAATTTTATATATTCTGTAAATTCAGGAAATTCAAGAAATTCAAGAAATTCAAGAAATTCAAAAAATTCAAAAAATTCAAAAAATTCAAAAAATTCTACAGATTCTTCAAATTCTGCAAATTCTACAAATTCTGCAAATTCTAAAAATTCTGCAAATTCTACAAATTCTACAAATTCTACAAATTCTACAAATTCTACAAATTCTACAAATTCTACAAATTCTACAAATTCTACAAATTCTACAAATTCTACAAATTCTACAAATTCTACAAATTCTACAAATTCTACAAATTCTACAAATTCTACAAATTCTACAAATTCTACAAATTCTACAAATTCTACAAATTCTACAAATTCTACAAATTCTACAAATTCTACAAATTCTACAAATTCTACAAATTCTACAAATTCTACAAATTCTACAAATTCTACAAATTCTACAAATTCTACAAATTCTACAAATTCTACAAATTCTACAAATTCTACAAATTCTACAAATTCTACAAATTCTACAAATTCTACAAATTCTACAAATTCTACAAATTCTACAAATTCTACAAATTCTACAAATTCTACAAATTCTACAAATTCTACAAATTCTACAAATTCTGCAAATTTCCAAATGTATACAGCTAAACATTCCCCATCTCCAATTCCCCAAATATTCAAATCTCCAAATCTACAAATCTACAAATCCCTAAATTTCAAAATCTCCAACTACCAAATCCTTCGGATCTCCAAAGTACTCTCGGATTCTCGAATTCAAATTTTTCATTCTCGTAAAAATCCAAATCTCAAAAATGAAAAATAATAGCAAGATATTATAATGTACCTCGTGTAATTACGATCTCGCAAAAAATATCTTACTAAGCAATCTCGTTTAGTCCGCTTTCATATTCTCGTTATATCTGTATTACATGGCCTTTAAAATCCTCCGGCCGATTAAATTTTTCTCTTCAGTGCTCGGTCGTTTGAGAATTATTCGTCGTTTGAGAATTATCCGCAACTTAATGGAGTCTCGTTCAGTTTATGAGTAGTCGTCCGACTTATTTTTAAATATTTTACAGACTCCTTCACTGTTCCCTTTCAACGACTATAAAGATGGATATTAAAATTCCCTTTTCCTCTTGCAAATGTCATACGTCGTAGCTGCCTTTTACATTTTCTGAAAAAAGGGGGTACATAATGACGATGTTCTTTATTGGTTACTGGAAGAGAAACTTCTAAGTAATTATTCGAATATTGAAAACAAAATTCTTATTATTAATTTTAAGACACATTACAATTAGGTAAATGTACTCCTTTGTACGTTGTTTCCTTTAATGGGCAATTTAATTCGTTTCATTAAAAATCACAAGCAAAGTGTGTGATATTCAATAAAATATTAAAATATTAAAGTAAAAAATTTTGTATTTACTATTTTAAAACTTTAATTTAATTTTTATTATTTTTACTATTTTAAAAATTTTGAATTCTTATAATATATTACATTCATGTGTATTTCTAGAGTCATATATTTTATTTTAAAAAATATGAGCTTATATGATTATTTGTTCAAATGAACCAAAACAATGTTCAAATTAATAAGGCAATATCAGTCTTTATTTACATAATTAAAAATTACAATCAATTTTAACAAATCAAATTAACAAATCACGATGATCAATAAACTAAATAAATAAATAAAATAAAATGTAATTTTCATTCATAATAAATATTGCACTTGAAAATTGATAATCAATTCAATCAATCTCTGAAAGGATTTTCTGAAAAATTTATAGAATGACTATTTTTAAACGAACACGTCTTATATGTCCGATAATGACATCATTTACCTTAGACCTTTCTGAATAGATTGTAGATCGTAGATCAATGCCACATAATGTCTTGGTTACAACCTTCTCGAGTTAGTGTTTAGAGTTTCTAATACATAATACATATTACTACGTGTTTTACTAGTTATAGGTTCTTTGCAACAGTCCGCGCGTTAGCAAACTTGCCGCCATATTAGAATTAGCCATTTGTAGTAAGACACTTGTTAAAATCAAGTTTTGGAGATATTACAAATTTTCTTGTTAGTAAAATTCAATTATCTTATATTAAACTTTTCAATCTGATATTTTATATTGTTGGTGTAATTTTAATAGTACTCACAGATATTTTACTTGTTTTATTTCTTTATTTCTTCTTATTCGTTAGTTTGACTGAACTTTTGTGATGCAGTGACTGTCATGGCGGCGAATCTTCTAATCGGAGTCACGAAATAACTGTATCAAGCTTGTAATAGATACAAGTTTAATTAGTTATATAATTTGATGGTAGTACGTTAGTTTATTTTAATGAAACATCATTTAATGTATTTTTACAAACAAATAAAATGTATATTCTAACAAGACAAAAGTTCCTTCTGTTAATTGTAGACAAAATTTTATTCTATTAATTATACACAACATTTCATTCTATTAATTATATACAACATTTCATTCTATTAATTATACACAACATTTCATTCTATTAATTATATACAACACATCATTCTATTAATTATATACAAAAATATATTCTATTAATTGTACACAAAATTTCATTTTATTAAGTATGGACAAAATTTTATTCCATACATTACAGACAAAATTGCATTTCATGCTGTACATTATAGACAAAATTTAACTTTATAAATGGTAGACAAAATTTCATTGTATATGTTGTAAACAAAAATTTATTTTATACACTCTATAAGAAATTTCATTCTATTAATTATAAACAAAATTTCATTATATAAATTATAGACCAAATTTCATTTTATAAATTTTATAAATTCCATAAAATTTTGAGAAGAATGTTTGTCAAGCGATCCATTTCTCAAGGAGATCTCAAACCAATAATTTCTATCTTGCAAGGTGTCCTACCTCATTTAAGATACTACAAATTACAAACAAAACTTAGTCAAAATAATCTTCCACAATTTGATAAAAAGTACCAAAGCTCAAATACAAGAATACTGTTATGAACGGTGAGCACTACCTTCCAACTCTTCCTGCAAAGAAAATTAAAAATAATCGTCGTAAAGACGTCACAGTTTCCCATCTCATAGCATCATCATCTCCGTTTCTTCCGCGCTTGCTCCATAAACTCTTCCTGTTCCCTATTCGTGCGCATAATTGTTCTGAAACACTCGAAGCAACGAAACGTGTCGGAAAGACCGGAAGAATCTCAGTGAACCAATAAACTTCCTTGAGCAACGACCCGTTCGCGTTCCAGAACGACATCGCCGCTAAACATGGTCTTAATTGTCGCGGACACGGTTCACATAACAACGTCCCCGTAAAAAATCACTATGCCGTTGTTGCCTATCTCATAAGGCGAGCATCCATGCATGTCTTATCCGTGAAATTGTTGCGTGTGTGTATCCACGCGTAATAGTCCATGTTCCATTGTTCCAATAATTCTCCAACGTTGCGTCACATCTGCCTGCCGCATCTCTACTTACACTTATGCCGGATGCGCTCTGAGGCAACCACATCGACTATTAAACCTTTCGTTACGATGCACTTTGCTTGAAAATCGTTCACCTTTTCTTGGGAGACGGTAATTGCCGGTCCGATTGATTAACGAATTATTCGAGTGAAACTTCGGGAGATTCGATATGGAAGGTCAGAGTTGCCACATGAAGTCGAACGTGACGACAGACGTAGTCTAAAATGCACAGACAGTCTAACATGCACAGACAGTCTAACGGTGCTGACTTGAAATTGGCGATGTGTGACAACGTTACTGGAGATAATGAAAACGTCTAATGACCTGGGGATGTGACATGTTTAAGGATACGTCTGGTTTGTAGTTAGCTGATACAAACAATGAGTGGAACAATCAGCTGTTAAAGAGTGGAACAAATTCAGTAATTTATAAATTTTCAAATCGTTGAATTTGTACTTGTCGACTCGATATTTGTTAACCTTTAATTTTCTGAAGTAGTACATTTTCAAATTTACAGGTCCTCAAATTACTAGGTCCTCAAAGTCTCAAATTGAGTATCCAATATCTCAAGGTCTCGAATTTACAAATTTCGAAGTTCTCAATCCTCCAAATTGACCAATATTCAAATCGCGAGTCAAATCCCCAAATTCCCAAAGTTCCAAGTTCCTAAATTCCCAAATTTTCAAATCTCCAGCTTCTGAAATTACCAAACTTCTAAAATGTCTTTCCAAATAAAAAAACTCTCAAGTTCCAAATCCCCAAATTTTTAAGTTCTTAATTTTAACTCTGGAACGATATATTTAGACCATGGTCACTAACCTTCACGGCAGCAACCCGTTGATTTAAAGGAATTTCAGAAACCTGAAAAGTGAAAATAACCGTATGAAAGTACATTCATCTTTACGTGACATCCACGTTTCGCCTGAAAGTTTCACTAGCTCTACCGTGTCAAACAGTTGACGAAACTCGCGATAAAAGACACTCGCCGTTCAGGCTCATATTTCAGTACATAAAAGTAAGTTGTCGTCCCTCAACGAGGCAAGTGTACATTTCACAGAGTGCACACGACTGTATGCACCTCGTGGCATTCAAAATACCATTGCCAATTGGTGCGAGGGTCCCCAATGAACTCCTGAGAAATCCACCTTTCGCTCGCCTTTACCTAGGACTTCTCTAACCCAGTTTTCAATTTGTAACATGATTATGCTAAATTGTTACATGGTCAGTTTCGAAATACGCAAAATGTCATATTGTGCGTTAATAAATGAAAGTATAACTGTTGAAATATATTTTTATTATTCTGTACAATGTTATTAATACACTAATATTAAGTAATGTTAATAATAGTACATGATGAATTTGGTTGCAAATATAATGAATATTTCTGTAAGTAACAATATCAAACAAGACACTGCTTAACAATAATAATAATGAATTTGATTGAAAATTTAATAAATATTTCTGTAAGTAACAGTATCAAAGAAGACACTGGTTAACAACAATAATAATGAATTTGATTGAAAATTTAATAAATGTTTCTGTAAGTAACAGTATCAAAGAAGACACTGCTTAACAACAATAATGATGAATTTGACTGAAAATTTAATAAATGTTTCTGTAAGTCACAGTATCAAAGAAGCGTGTCAAACAGTTGACGAAACTCGCGATAAAAGACACTCGCCGTTCAGGCTCATATTTCAGTACATAAAAGTAAGTTGTCGTCCCTCAACGAGGCAAGTGTACATTTCACAGAGTGCACACGACTGTATGCACCTCGTGGCATTCAAAATACCATTGCCAATTGGTGCGAGGGTCCCCAATGAACTCCTGAGAAATCCACCTTTCGCTCGCCTTTACCTAGGACTTCTCTAACCCAGTTTTCAATTTGTAACATGATTATGCTAAATTGTTACATGGTCAGTTTCGAAATACGCAAAATGTCATATTGTGCGTTAATAAATGAAAGTATAACTGTTGAAATATATTTTTATTATTCTGTACAATGTTATTAATACACTAATATTAAGTAATGTTAATAATAGTACATGATGAATTTGATTGAAAATTTAATAAATATTTCTGTAAGTAACAATATCAAACAAGGTACTGGTTAATAATAAGTTTATGAATAAGACGAGAATTTTATAAATCAGACATAAATTTGTAACATGTATACATTTTTTAGTTAACCTAATAAATATTGAAATTGTCATTTTCAAAGGCTATAAACAAATTTGTGTGTTTGTGAAATTTTCAGGAATTTGCAAATTTGATTTTCTTAAAAATGAAGGCAAATATGGAAAAATATTATTCTTTCTTTTTAACTTAGTTTTGCTTGCAGAATCATTATTCGGCCATTCATGCCACAATTTTTGAAACATCCTGTATAAAGAACAGAATTAAAAGATGATGGTATGAGAAAATTGTAGTTTGATTTTGTTAATCTATAGATAGAAATATAATTGATTATTACAGTAAGTTTAATTACAATGTTTGTTATTATTATTACACTTTGAAATGTTATTGTAGCTTAGATAATTTAATGCAGCATTTAGGTGATTTATTTGATGATGCAGATTGCTCTTTTATTATTGTTCTATATTGTTAGTTTTTATTATTGTTTTATATTGTTAGTTTTTATTGTTGTTTTATATTGTTAGTTTTTACTATTGTTTTACATTGTTTTATTATTGGAATAAAGAAGTGATTATTCATTATTTTTACTTAATAGAAAAGCAATCGTTTATTTGTATTTAACAAAGAACTGATTTTTTTATTATTTGCACTTAAAAATTGATATCTTATTATTTTCATCTAATAAAGGACCGATTTCTTACTATTTTTACTTAACGAAGAACTAACTTTTCATCATTTTTATTTAATAAAGGACTGCCCTTTTATTATTTTTGGGCTCCTTAATAAAAAACTGACTTATCTTAACTCCGTCAAATTTTTAACGTAAGATTAAAATTTCTTCTTAAGAATGCAAGTCTTACTATCGGACATTCTTTAGAAAATTATTTTCACGGCGGGAATTCTGTAGAAAAATATCCAGGCTGTTATGAAAATATTTGTAATAACTTCGGATGTTTATGTTGCATGTAACATAGTAGCAAGGTCTGTGTAATGACCTTATTGTATTTATTTTATGTATAAATATTGAACAATTTTAAAAATTAGTATGGTCATCAATATTAAACTAAATACATTTTTTATTAAATTTGTAGGAAAACTAATAAAATTAAATAATTGTAATATTATTTAAAAATAATAATATTTGTAAGTCAGATTAATAATAGTTATTTACAAATAATAATTGCAATAATTATTTTATAAATAATCGTAATATTATTTATAAATAATAATATTTATAAATAATATTAATATTAATTATTTATAAATAATATTTGCAATAATTATTTTATAAATAACAGTAATATTATTTAATTAATAGTATACTACATATAATTAATAATCCTAAAGCATCAGTTTTGTCATGCCACGTTATTAAATTACATCTTGCATCTAAACTTTTCTAAATCACCGCTTTTTCAACTCCCTAGTTTCCGCACAATTCAATCACCATTTTCCATAAATAATTCATTCCAATCACATATAATATTCATTTATAGTATTCATACCATTTTCCCTGCACTACATTAAAGGAAGAACATTCAAATCTTTTTACTCTCGTTACTCAATTTTTTAAACTTTTGCATAATTGTGGAGTTCGAATGATAAACGATGTAAATGCCCAGCTTGAAAATTTTCAATGGAAGCAAAAAACGCATTGAAATTTCTTTACTTTGACAGCTGTATCGTTTATCACTTGAACGCTATGAAGTGTAAACATCGATTGCAGAGTTTGCAGCAATAAGGAAACAGTTCCACTTTCTACGTATTCTTTGTATATCTCATTTTGTGATGAAAAATGTGACATTTGATGCATGAAAGAGCAAACTCCAGACCATAGTTATGGCTGTTATGAATACATTCAATAACAAATGAAGCTATATGTGTAACATGTTAAGTACTCATATACCCAAGTTTTGAAAAGACTTGTACTAGAAAAGAATTGTTTGCCAAGCAAAATTTACGAATATATTAAATTTTGCAGAAAAAACATGTGTTGCAAAGAGTCACTCGTGATTTTATAATAAGTTGAAATTAACACAAAGTTGCTTTTAATGGTAATTCTTAAAATAAACGTTAATGTTAACCCATTGCACTCAAAGGTTTTTTTGGTTATTTGCAAACAGCTGCTTTAAAACTTGTTTGTTAAAAAATTAAATGAATTTTTGTTGGCGTTCTTCTATTAATAATTTTCATTATACATTGTCTGTTTCACTGTGTTTATACATCACATGTGTACATTTATACATAACACATCGTGTGTAATATTATAGAAATAGTTATAAAATGCTTATATTCAAATTATTGTATAACATCAAATGTGGACTGGGTCACCTCTTGAACGCAAAGGATTAATCCTTCAAACAAATGTTGATGTTAATTCTTCAAGCAAATGCTAATATTAATCCTTCAAACAAATGTTAATATTAATCCTTCAAACAAATGTTAATCTTAATCCTTCAAACAAATGTTAATCTTACTTCTTCAAACAAATATTAAAACTAATTCTCCTATATCAATACATTCAATCGAGATACATTGTGTAAAGTATAGTAAAAGAGACACTGAAATTAAATTTGTTGTTTGCATTTGTGTTTAGGTACGATTTCGTAGTGATTGGAGGAGGAAGCGCCGGGGCGACAGCAGCAGCAAGATTATCAGAGGAACCAAGGTTTTCAGTGTTATTGTTGGAAGCTGGATTAGATGAACCGACCGGAACTCAAATACCCTCGTTTTTCTTCAATTTCATTGGAACTGACATCGACTGGCAATATAACACAGAAAGCGAGGAAGGGGCGTGTTTGAACAAGGACGATAGAAAATGCTACTGGCCCAGAGGAAAGGTACTTATCTAATTTGACATTCATTTGATCGTTCAACACATTTGTTATCCGAACTGAGCTATTTTTATTTCCTTAACCTACAAATTTTTTTATGGTTGCGTCAATCAGAGCTAATTAATTACTGCACTGTTAAGATAAATAAAGAACGTGAAGCGTTAGGTGTAGTTTGGATTTATGGATCTTCAGTTATACAAATTGGTGTCAATTCAAAGCTCGATTTTTATGCAGATACAATTGACGTTTTTCTGTATAAATTTTAATATAATAAACTTAAACCTTCCGTGCCATTTCTTTATCAGATACGTCAGTCAGCTCACTAACTAACTATTCAGGACTATAACATTAAAACTTTATATTATGAAATATAAAGTTTATATTATATTATGAACTTTATATTATGAAATATAAAGTTTATTATAGATTATCAAATATTTTAGAATATATAGAATATAAACACTTTATGTTCAAGGATCCTTGATAATGCAACTTATAGATGGATCTAAATTTCAAGTTAAAGAATATTTAAAATTTGAGCAAAATTTGTCACATTTGAGCTGTAAGTGCGTCACGAGTGAGCCTCAAAGCACAAGAAGAGGTTAAACATTTTTGACAAGCTGTGATATTTGACGAGTCTTATTACAAGCAATATGGTTAATTTAACATCTTACTCCACATCTACGTGTCACACATATAACGCACACTACACTTGGAATGTGATGAACCAGACTCGTTTTTTCATTACAATCCAACTTTGGTTCAATTCTAATTATGATCTATATTATCGAGGATTGCTGAAGGTAAAATATACCTAACATTTTAACATTCTTTAGTCATTTTAACGTTGTAGCAATAATTAGGTAGCTGTGAATGACGCAAGTGCCTAGAAAATTATAGGTTGAGGAGTTAATTTAACCCTTACCAGACCAATGTCACCATAAAGGCGGCATACTACTTTTACTTATGGCAGTTATTTTACAGTACTTTTACATGTCAGTTATAGCAGTTGGGTTTCTAATATTTCGAGTAATATTAACTTTAACGTTCCTAATATTGCGTTAATATTATTTCTAATATTAACGAATAAATATTTTCTTTTTTATATTTGATATAACAATGTTTAGTAACAGTTTCTCTTCGTGTGAACAACTTAGATAAGTAAACTTGAAATACTTTTAATCCGTTAAGTGTTAATAAGTAAAAGTGTTATAATCGTACCTATCAAACGTCTAAATAAGATCAGAAATACTACAGGCATTTTGTGAATGTTTAAGAGAAATATTAGCGAAAGCGTGAGCATTCTTCTGTGAAGAAATAACAAAATGTGTTCAATGCAAATATGTGAAGATTTTAGACAAAGCCACGTGTAAAGGCAAATTGAAATTAGCGATTTAAGATAAGCGAGATTTGAGCTGGTTTCAGGTGGTGTAACAATCATTGTTCATGTGATAAAAGTTATGAAATCAAAAGTGGTGGTTACTTGCTTATACAGAGTGAACTGTCTAACTTGCTTTGTCATTTATTCTAATCCAAATTTATTTATTAAAATCATTGAATTATTGTTTTGAAGAATGTTATTGATAGACTGGTTGAATAAATATTTTTAATAATTGCTAATAAACATTGTATTTAATAAGTGTTTGACAGTAGCACATATGTAGAAAGGAATTCTGTTGACCTTGAAAGTATCATTAGCAACTAATACAAATGCATTACAATCATGTTAAAAACCTTATTAAAGACTATACAATTTCACAAACAATTTCTTTTAAGTGATTTCGTCAACATCAGAATAATATTAGATTTTAGATGGTCATATCAGATGGTTCTCCACATGCACATACTCATTCTTCAAGTCTCATATTCACTTGTTCTATTGTAATAAACAATTTGCATATTTTATACAATTGTTTGTCGAATATATTAAATTATTTTTATAAAATATTTATACAATTTTTAGTATATATGAAATATTAAAAAGATGTATAGTAAAATGGTACGTAAAAAAGAATTAGTGAAAAACATATAAAAATTAATGAAGTATACTGTAAAATTATAAGAAGGAAGTTAACGAAATAAACAGACATATACATATTTATTATATTGTATAATATAGAATATATGAAGTTAGAATATATGAATATATTACAGTTACAATATATGAATGTATTATACGATTGCAAGAGAAAAATTAATTAAATATATTATAAAATTACAACAGAGAAATTAGTTCTAACAATAAGTATAATTTATAGGATTCTATATACAAATGAACGTCCGTTCTTCATAATAAACAAAGCTTGCATATAAATGTTACACAGGTACTGGGTGGAACAAGCGTTATGAATGGAATGATGTATATGAGAGGCTCACGAAAGGATTACGATGACTGGGCCAGGCTTGGCAATATAGGATGGTCTTATCAAGATGTCCTTCCATATTTCATCAGGAGCGAAGACAATCTTCAAGCAAACACCATGGATTATGGTTATCATGGTGTTGGTGGACCGCTCACAGTCACTCAATTCCCCTATCATCCACCTTTAAGTTACGCTATCCTTGAGGCTGGAAAAGAACTCGGTATGTACATTTCATTTTCTTCGGAAGTTATCGTTTAATTGTTAAAATATCTTGTACGACAGATCATTTTCAAATAAACGATGGAAGTGAGAAATTATTACAAGATTGTAATCATTTTTATAATAAGATTGCATTGTTTGTAATTATTTTCGATCGGATGCTATCTATCTTTATTTGGTGATAGGACTATGAATTTTAGTCTTAATGTTATAATGTCATCAGTTTTTAATAAAATTAATTAACAATTTATATTACTTTTTTTATACATTTTTGATATTATCAAATATATACTTATTGCATTGCATATATTTATTGCATTATTCTTAATGATATATGAAAATTAAACTGCATATCCACATTTAACATATCTTCAATAATGTATTATGTCTTTGTATTTATTCTTTTACTTTAGTTTTTTAAAACTTTATAAATTTATCACTTTTATTCTTCTACATTTCTTGTCCTTCCATATTTTATATTTCTCATAATTTTTATATGTTTTGTACTTTCAATATTTTCTCCATTTTATATTATATTTTGTATTTTGCATTTTTTGTTTTGTATTTTGCAGTTTGTATTGAATATTGTAGTCTAATATATTTTATTATAGTTTATAATTTTATTCTCCCACTCGATGTAGTCACATTATTTGCATCTATAAATTTAATGTTATTTATTCATAGAAAAAAATTGCTAAAACTATTTCGCTATTATCAGATTTCTAACGAAACGCTTTCGCAATAATTGGGAAAGTATAATGAAAAACCTAATCATCGCGTTCAATCATTCGTACCACGTTTTTCATACAAAAACAGCATAATCTAAATTGTCTTACGCTCCCTAAAATCGAAAGCAAATGGCGGAGTTCATGCGCTCACTCGTTCAAATTTAAACTTTCGAAATACTGCGAACTAATTAACAATATAACAATGCTAATAAACCTTATCAAGTGTATCTAAAACATCAGGAAAATAGATTGTACTTGTTATTGCAAGTTCATAAATCTTCGTGCAACGCTATCGAGAAGAAATATCTCCGAGACACGTACATACCTGAAAAGTGTGATATACAAAAACAATATCAACCCGACGATCTACTTAAAAGTACTATACCGCAACCTGTTATTACATGATCACGAAGAACTTGTTTCTTCTGTAGTATTTCGTTGTTATTACTCGCGTGAGTCTAATGACCCCTTTTGACGACGTCCACCAAACAACGCGTTACGAGATCTTTGCTCTCGGCTACTACTTATCTAATTGCGACACTATTTTCACCGGTAGCTTTCTATCCTTGTTGAATTATTCGATAATTACCGGTTATAATTCGATCGGTCGATTAACGTGTACGACCTTGTTATGATTTGTGACATGCCTTTTCAACGAAACGAATCTCCAAGAAAAAATTGATATTAGCATAAAGTGAATGTTGTTGGAAAATAAAAATTGTATTCAAATTTTTCATTGTAATTAGATTTTTTATTTCATTCTAATCAGATTTTTGTGGTTATATAACGAAGATTTAAACTTGCAACAAAATTCAAAAATGATATCCTCAAGCTTAGTTAAACATAAAATATGAATATTACGAATTTTACGTAAAATTTGAATGTTACGAATTTTATGTAAAATATGAATGTTATGAATTTTACGTAAAATATGAATGTTTTGAATTTTACATAAAATATGAAATTTGATGACATTCAAATTATGATTTTACCTCTACTATATATGTGTAAATATTTTATAGTTTAATACATAGTTTGTTTCTTTAGAAAGAATGATAATATAAAAAATGTATTCTTGAGCAAAGAATATTTTCAACCTTTTAAATTAAAATTAAAGTCAACCTTTTAAACCAAAGTTAAAGTCAAACTCTTAAATTAAAATTGAAGTCTACCTTTCAAACTGAAGTTAAAATCAAACTTTCAAATTAAAATTGAAGTCAACCTTTTAAACCAAAGTTAAAGTCAAGCTCTTAAATTAAAATTGAAGTCTACCTTTCAAACTAAAGTTAAACTTTCAAATTAAAATTGAAACCAACCTTTTAAATTACACTTGAAGAAATGTCTTACAAATGGTGAACTCTGATTTGAAAAAAGCACTACAATCTTCTAAAATAAGAAGTAGATAAACTTTTAAACTGTATAAATAAAGTTCCTCCAAAATACAAACTACAAAATGCTTAAAAAAATATAATAAAAATAGTTGTAAATGTTCTAATTTATCAGATGATTTTGTAAATCTAAAAGTCGTTGCGTTTACTGTTTGCAGGTTATAGTCCCGTAGATCTGAATGGAAGGACGCACACAGGGTTCGCCATAGCTCAAACAACTTCGAGAAATGGCTCGCGGCTTTCAACTGCTCGAGCATTTTTACGACCAGCCAGGAATCGTCGGAATCTGCATGTGATGCTGAATTCTACAGCCACGAGGATCCTTTTCGATAACAATAAAAGAGCAGTCGGTGTAGAATTTGTTCATGATGGAAAGATTCATCGTGTTTCGGTAGCCAAGGAGGTGGTCGTAAGCGGAGGTAATCATTTCGATATTGATCTAATAACATTTTTATAGTATTTTCGTTGCAATCTATGATCTTTTATGTTCGAATCAATTTTATGACGAGTGAGTACTCAAGCGTTATTTAATGTAGGGTTCTTTTCAAATTGAACGAAACGAGTTGCTTACTTTGGGAATTAAAATTAACCGTCTGCAAAATTTCTTGACGAATGAAAATAATTGAAAATAATTGAAAATTAGATATTGTATTTAATATTAGAAATTGTCTGTTGTTAAACAAATTGATGTCTTGATAAACAAATTCAGAGAAGAATAATGATTTATAAGGATTGCATATTGATTTCCTTGCGAATGAAATTGCATGACCAAAGGACGAAGGAAGTAAAAGATTGCAGCGGAAGACAGGTTCGTGATGACTCTCGAAGGACTACGAACAATTATAATAGAAATAGCAGCTGTCAGAAGGTTAATCACGTTAATCATCAGACTTTTCTTCCTACAATTTTAATTTGAGTCAGAGACATTCTTTATGTACTGTAAGGAAATTGTAAAGAATTTTTAAGGAAATTATAAAGAATTCCTAAGAAAATTATAAAAAATTTTAATGGAATTTAGGATTGCAAAATTCTAAGGAATTTGTTATTAAAGAAGCTGGTGCAGTTAATTCAACAATCTCACTTCGGAAATTATTTTCTGTTTGAGATATAATTATGTACACGTATGCGGCTTTTTCTGATTATGAACACATATTAGGTTTCTCTCGATTGAATAAGAAATGTAGTGAAAGGGTAAATTGTTCTGTCAGATGATGTTAAAAGTCCTCGAGTATTTCTTAGCAGTTTAGACTGATCGTGAGACTTCAAATTGTATTTGACGCTAATAGTTTAAATGTTTAGAAATAATGAACATAGAGGAAGTAAAAGACACATCAATGCAAGTAATTGCAAATTATGACTGCAGAAATTTATGCATTAATCAAGGTCTGCAAAATGTAATAAATTACGTAATCTATATCTACAACCTGTCAATCGAATGATTTATGTCTACCTTGCAGATTTTGATATCACAAATGCATAAACACACTATTAATTACCATCATTTAAAAATAGACAAAATAACCTCATAACAAAATTATACAAAATTTATTAAACATGAAACTATTATCTGACGATAGAATAAAAACACTAACTTATAACATTTATTGAAAATTTCGCAATTTACCACAGTGGTGACAATATTAAAAAAGCACATTGGTCATAAAAGACAATCAACAACTCGAATCTAAAAGTAGAAGCAGCATAAAAAATAAACGACTCGTTTTAGCGTAGTCATAATGTTGATATTGTATTCTGAACTATGTGTTAAAAATATTACAGGTTCCTCCATTCAGAAGCAGCTTCATTTGCATGACTGTGAATAATGCTTTTGTGTGTTCCTCCAGGCGCTGTAAATTCACCACAGATACTTCTGAATAGCGGTATCGGACCACGGGAAGAATTGAGTGCCGTTGGTGTCCCTGTTGTGCACGATCTACCAGGTGTCGGTAAAAATCTTCACAATCATGTCGCCTACACGTTGGCCTTCACCATCAATGATACAGACACGACTCCCCTCAACTGGGCTACTGCCATGGAATATCTTTTGTTCCGAGATGGTTTGATGTCTGGCACAGGTGAGGAAATAGTCATAATTCTAACATAAAAGTGATGATTCTTTAATCAATTGATTTTTCTTTTAAAAATGAGTTTGAATGTTTACATTTGTAGACAAGGTTTATATTCACATATTGACTGCCACTGAAGAAGTTGAAAATTAGGTTGTGTTTTTATTTTTAATAAATTTTACCAAATATTTTTATAGTAGTTATTAGTAGTAATAATTATAGTAGTTGTGGTAGTAATTCATGTAGTTAATGGAATTTTCGATAATTAGATAAGTGAACGAATATTTAATAATATGGAAGAGGTTCGTGTAGTTTAAATGTCACCCATGGATGGCATGTATGAAAAAATAATTGAATTCTTTCATTTTGTGATATATTAAATTACTCAGTTTTTAACATTAATATTGTAATTATTTTAGAGTGGTAGTCAAATAACATAAAACTCGCTAATTTTTCATGTATAAAAAATAAGTAATAACAGAAAATAAGAAAATAATAATCAAATTACAAACAGTATAAAACTCACAAAGTTAAATAATATAAAAGTTACTGATTTTGGAGATGTAAAAATTAAATCAGAAACGCAAAACTTATGATTAATTACCAGATTTCTTTATTAAAAATAAGTTTTAACAATTTTCAAATTACACTTAAATAAAATAAGAATTTGTTGCTTTTCTTTTAGTTAAAATCTGCAGCTTCACAATTAATACTTTTTTGACAATCACAACATTTTTTCAAGTATATTATTATACCATAATATGCAGCTTGTCAGGACTATATGGTATATAAATCATTCTTCGATGCATATCAAAAAAGAACCACTTATTCTACGCAGTTATTGACAGAATCAGAATACGTCTACCTAACTGAAATTTTTTATCAGACATCCTATTTGCATTCTTAAATATTTGATTTCCTACTGCAATAAATCGCGAACACAAAAACTGTATAATAAAAATCGTATCGAAAGTTAAATAAATTGTATATTGGATTTTAGTACAAAAACGTTATTAAGGATCAATTTAAGATAGTAATAGTATTTTATACAAGATTTTCACAGTGTGTCCTTCACTCTTCATTGGTTCTTATTAAAACTACTTTATTTTATTCATAAATTAATCGTTGCACAATTTATCAGCGCTCACGTTTTAAGAGTTGTTTACCACAACCTAACCTAACTTAACCTAACCTGTTTACATTCTAATATTCAAATTTATAAGTAATTAGCTTATCGTTAGTACATGGCTATTGAAATAGAAACATCTTAACATAGTTACGAGATTATATTAACACTTTATTGACAAATATAAGGATGAAGTGAAGGGTTAACTAAAAAGACTTCGATATAATTTATTTACAACTAAATTGAATTCATAAAATTTCTGGCAGTATTAACATTTATATTATTCTGTAACACTAGCTAGAGTATTAAATGAAGTTATTTTTTTTAATATAACAAAAATATGGATAAATAAGAAGACATGTATGTGAAATATATTTAAACATACTTTCAGTTAAATTACTAAATTTAAATTAATTAAATAGTACAATAACTATTATACAACTTTTTGTAGTGTTTCATTTATAAAAATAATCTTGAATGTACGAAAATAGCAAAATTATAAAAAGAATAAAGAGTTAAATCTCGAATATATTAAAATTAGGGTAATTATTGAATAATAATAATGAAATATTTCAACTAATTTAATCACCTGAAAATATAGATCGACAGAGTTTATTACAATTGTAATTGTATTAAAAAACATATCACATGAAACACATATTTGTTTCATAGATCAAAATAATTTACACATAAATTTTTACATTTATCTATGTATGTATGTCTTTTGTTATTAATCTGAGATAGTCCATATTCATTCATCTTTCTCCTCCAACAAATTAATTTTAATTCCAACCAAAACAAAGATCGTCATGCTTTCATAAATCAAACTACTACATGATTTATGCACGTAAAATAACTGTAAAGTATTTTGCCAACCGCAGCCTATTTTTATTCTATAACAAAAGGATAAAATTGATGGTTTTATGCAACGGATAAAATAGCCACAACTTACCCAATCCAGGTGAAAAATGGTCAGTGGTTACAGTTCTTTTTTTATCCCGTTCAACTCAAGAAATAATTCAAAACTGCATCCGACGACCGGGAGATAACCGAATGTCGAAATTTTCGTAGCTCCCACATAACGAGGTCGATTTCACGACTTTCAGAACCGTGTGCTGCAGTCTGTTTCAGGGTTCCGTTTCGATATATAACATGAAGTGCATTGACATTCTGCAAAATATTTCTTTGTGACCCTGGCCTGCCATTTCAGGTCCTTATCTCGCTGTCGGATTTTACGCCTAACCGGTTTAACAGCTGGCCAATGCTATTTCGACCATTTTGTGTTGGGCGAGTTCGACAAGTTTGTCATCTTGTAACGCGTTGAAACTGAATGATTTATTCGATATCGTTAAGATATTGTGGCATAGATATATTGGATAGCATTATTAGTATTGAGAGCTTGTATTAATTTCGTAAAATTAGCAGGGTAACAGGTTGTCTTCTTATGAGGGACTTTGTTTATGTTGAAACTCGCATGAATTAACAAATATAAATCTTCTTTTACTGTTTTTAAAAGTATTAAATGTAGCTAGAAGATTTTTGAAAATTATTTACAAGTTATAATTATTTTTAAATGCAATTTTGTCAGTGTCTACAAATTTACTCACAAAGAAAAATTAAATTAATATGGAGAATATACGATCTTGTTTTACCCTTTGATTTAAACATGATTTTGATTACTGGTAATGTACTGTGTGGTCTCTGTTTATTATTATTAGCAAAGCACAATTTGGTTGCACGTTGAAATACAAATTTAAATGGTAATATTCGTCAATATAGTGCGAATTTACTGCACGTTCAGACACAATGACACGATTACAGATTTCAGATAAACTTGTTAATTACATTTTGACTATTATTTGGTTAAATCATATTAACGTATTCTGACAATTATTTATTTAACATATATTCCTGACTAAATAATTGATAGGAACTTAATAGAAATTTTTTCAAATGTTTATGAAGTGATGGAGAAGAATTTTCTGTTTTGAAAAAATTAATAAAAATTGTTATTTATAAGAAAAATTATAAATGACTTTCTATAACTGATATAATATAAACATTACCTAAAATTTGATATAATTATCATACCAACAAAATACAAACTATAATATAAATATAACAGAAAATGTAATATAACATGAATATAATATAAACATAACACAAAATATAATATAATATGAATATAATATAAACACAACACAAAATAAAATATAAAAGGAAGATAATATAAACGTAGTATAAAGTATAATATAGTATAAATATAACATAAATGTAAAAAATATAATATAATACAACCATAACATATAATATAAAAATTCTATAAAAAGTCCCTATATCACACACAAAATGGATTCATAGTGCATAGTTCACAAACATGCAATGTCAGAATATAAAAATACATTATTATTGTATTATACAGTTACACTTTCTGTTACTAATGTTACTACAATTATACTATACAGTGCCCAAAAAGTTAGGTTAAGGTTCCACATAAATATATTGATAATCCACTCTAACAAAATATCCGATAAAAACGAACGTACTGATAGCAACAAGAATCAAACAGAACACAGACAGTCGATGATGAAAAGAACAAATTTGTCCACTCGTGCAAGTTGCATTCGTAAATGATCGATACAGAGCCATCCTCCATGCAGTGAATCGGTGAAAGCGAATTGCACAATGATTTCGTACACGTTTCTCGATTGCCAGTGATGCAATCCTGTTTCCGATCGGACTGTTTACCCTCGTTCGATCAATTTATGATGGTTACGGCAGAAGAGAGATGAAGGAGGAAGAAAAAGAGAGTGGAAAAGACCGTTTCATCCTAGCCCTACTTCCAATCTCACGAATCCATACTTTATCATTTTTTAATCAGTGGATTGAATGGATAATAGGGTGTCAAAATTTTAGTGCAATTGGTCAAATTGTTAATAAGAGAAATTTTTGTTATTTTATTTCTTGTGAAATTTTTATTATCTTAAAGCTATCGTTAGTGACACAATTATTTAGTAATTGTATATTCAAGTATGGTATACATGGATTATATTTATACAATATTTATAGTTATGTATTATATTTATAGTTTTACTTTATATTTGCATTTATATTTCATTTGTATTTATATTTGTATTTATATTATTTATATTTCGTTCACAGTGTTTGGTAATTTTGTACATCTTATCAATTTAAATATTATGTTATTAATTTCATACAATGTGGTAACATATTTTACATATCTCGTAGAATTTCAAACAATCCAAAATTTAAATTAATTCGTTTGAAATTTTTCATAAATTATTTACTCGCTGAAAGGGTCAATCAACCTTTTCACATCAACCCCTTAAGTTCAGCTATTAACCTTCAATTAATAATAAAATATTTGACAATAAAATGAAAGGGTGAATCAGCCTTTTCACATCAACCCCTTTGAATCAGCTATTAGCCTTCAGCTAATATTAAAAGATTTAATTACAATAAGATCTATTATATTTTTAATTTCCAATTTCTGCCCTTCATTGACTAAATCTTACGTAACTTCATCACGGTAAAAATTTTACAGACGTAAATTAGTAAGTGTCCAATGGGATAGTTCAATCTCATTTCTGGAAAACCAATCTTTCAATAATAAAAAATTCTTATCTTCATTACTTTTTCTTATGTATCCTCATTTTGTCTATAGGTAAACGTCAAGTTCATTTATTTTGATTTAGTTGACTTGTTTTTAACCGCCTAGTTTTATCTTCATTTATGTTCAAACATCGTTTTGCAATCGATATTAATATAATACTGTTTTTTGTATGGTTATCGATGAATGCAGTAAAAGGAAATGAAATTTTTATTAGTCTAAAAAAATAGCTTCAGAATAACTTATGAATAAAATTGCAAAAGAGGCGTTTTTTAAAAATTACAAGTAATATTTTGTATTTTATTCTTTACAGTATTGTTACTTTTTATGTGGTTATTAGCAGTACATACAATAGAAGCAGATTTAGTTTTTATTAGCTGGAAAAATGCCTTCTAATAAAATTGCGTTTAAGACAATTTTAATTCATTTGATTAATTTTTTAAAATTAACGTATAATATTTTATATATTATTCTCCACAAAATTTTTACCAAATCGTGTTAGAGTCTATATGATTAAAATCTAATGATATTTGCTATAAGTAACTAGTAAGCCACTTTATATTGATGTAAACATTTTTATTTTACATTTTCCTCACCCTATAAGAACGTAATACACATTCACACGTGGTGAATATGAATCAATTGATATTTTCACCATGCTTGAATTTTAAATTTAATTTCAATTATATTCTGTGCAATCAATGACCAAATAAAAAATATCCCAACATGTTAACATTCTTCACTTGTCTCAATATTACGGCAATAATCAATTACCTCTGACAAACCTATGAAAAAAAATTTAAAGAATTAATTGACACAGCATAAATTTGAATACTATACCACGTTTCGAAATTCGTCGTTTAATATTCAATAACCTAACAATTTCCGTTCGAGTTTGAAAGCAGTCGTTTGTCTCGATCTTACAAACCTGTCAAACATTTCAATGGCTATAGAAATCAGACTAGCTGAAATTCAGAGCTCGTTCATTAGGTAGAAATTGCTACAACGTAATTAGGATCTCAGACAGAACTTCCATCGTGTTGACTCAAGATTCGCATGAGATCTCCGAAGAATCTTTGACATAGTTGTTGGCAACAAATACCGGAACCTCGCTCTAATAGAATAGTTGCGAATCAAACGCTAATTGATCTGATTCTGTGGCAAGTTACTCCCACGGGACAATTGATTATTCAAGTGACTGCTGGTTCCAACAGAAAAAACACTGATTTCATTTTTCACATCGATACGAATTTTTATGAAGTATAGAAAACAGCGGTTTTTAGATATGCTTCCTGCGTTTGCCGCTAGGGGAACATCCGCAAGAAGTTTCTCGCAAGTACATGCATAACGTTTCTTCTACCATGATTGACTATACTATTTTTAAATAAATTTAAAATAAATTCGTCTAATAAAATCAATAAATTTAAAAACGAAATTTAAAATCATCATTTGCAACAAATAAAACTTATTGTACATAATTTCGATAAAGACAGTAAACGTCCGTATAATTGTTTATATAATTAACAAATAATAAATAATTAATTTGAATGATTGACAAAACGCATTTGTTTAAATAAATAACAACTGACGTTTGTCAGTAAAGTATTACTGTAAAAATTTATTAGCAAAATATTTTCAGTATATTGTGCTACAATTGAGTATATTTATTTAACCTTTTGTAATCAAAGGTATTTTTGTTGTTGCCATGCATCAACCTTAAAACCTTCTAATTAAAAAGTTTGTAGAATGCTTTGAAGTTTACTATTTCTCTTTGATTAATTACCACTATTGTCCCACTGTATTTATAATATCATATAGATTTAGATAAAAAATATTTATTTCAAAATTGTTGTGAATGTGAATCACCTTTCGAGGGTTCAAACTTGAGTATACTTTAAAAAATGGAGTAGACTTACTTAAAAAGTTAGGTTAAGTTTACACACAGATGAGATATTAAACTCAACAAAATATCCGATAAGAACGAATATATTGAAAGCAACAGATCAAACAGAACAGAGACAATAAAAAGAATAAACTGCACTCATGCAAACTACATTCGTTACTTAATATAAAAGCTGTAAACTATGTAACTCTATTCTCGAAATCGCCAGATTTATGTACAACGCAATAGGTTGTTAAACCATGAACACATTCTTTTTATTGAGACATAAAGCACACATAAATTCAGCTTTTCTCGATGATTTAACAGGTATTTCCGAGGTAACTGCAATGGTAAACACGAAGTACGCGAATCCTCAAGAGGATCATCCAGATGTGCAACTGATCTTCGGCGGTTACCTGGCAGACTGTGCAGAAACCGGTATGGTCGGTGAAATGAAAGGAGCAAATCGCACGATTTATATCATTCCAACGTATTTGCACCCGAAGAGCCGTGGTTATCTTCGTCTGCGAAATAACGATCCTCTGTCGAAGCCGATGATTTACCCGAAGTATCTGAGCCACCCTGATGACGTGGCCGGCCTCGTTGAAGCTATTAAATTTGGTATCAAGTTGTCTCAGACCCAGGCTCTCAGTAGGTATGGTATACTGTGTACACAGATGTAATTTACACTGCGTTATATCGATTTCGATATCGTTGAACAATTTTAATGTAAGATGATAACACTTGCAGCCATTGACGTAACGGAATAGGGGTTAGGGTGACGTTCTGACGTGAATGTTTATTGTTAGATAAAATGTATGGATCTTTTTAATAAGAATGACTATTCAAGGTAGAGTACAAGTTTGAAAATTGAAAAATTTTCTTATTTTCAAGTCTTTGAATTTTATAAGGTATTTTATTTTTGAAGAATGTTATATCCAAATTTTGTAGTTTTTAAGGTATTGTGTTTTGTGAATTCATAAATTTTCACAAGTGTACAAATTCTGAAATTTGTAATAGTTCTGATTTCTAAATGTCTGAGTTATCATATTTCTGAGTTTCTGAGTTTCTGAGTTTCTGAGTTTCTGAGTTTCTGAGTTTCTGAGTTTCTGAGTTTCTGAGTTTCTGAATTTCTGAATTTCTGAATTTCCGAATTTCTGAATTTCTGAATTCCCGTATTTCTAAGTTCCTGTATCCCTAAATCCCTGTATCCCTAAATCCCTGTATCCCTAAATCCCTGTATCCCTAAATCCCTGTATCCCTAAATCCCTGTATCCCTAAATCCCTGTATCCCTAAATCCCTGTATCCCTAAATCCCTGTATCCCTAAATCCCTGTATCCCTAAATCCCTGTATCCCTAAATCCCTGTATCCCTAAATCCCTGTATCCCTAAATCCCTGTATCCCTAAATCCCTGTATCCCTAAATCCCTGTATCCCTAAATCCCTGTATCCCTAAATCCCTGTATCCCTAAATCCCTGTATCCCTAAATCCCTGTATCCCTAAATCCCTGTATCCCTAAATCCCTGTATCCCTAAATCCCTGTATCCCTAAATCCCTGTATCCCTAAATCCCTGTATCCCTAAATCCCTGTATCCCTAAATCCCTGTATCCCTAAATCCCTGTATCCCTAAATCCCTGTATCCCTAAATCCCTGTATCCCTAAATCCCTGTATCCCTAAATCCCTGTATCCCTAAATCCCTGTATCCCTAAATCCCTGTATCCCTAAATCCCTGTATCCCTAAATCCCTGTATCCCTAAATCCCTGTATCCCTAAATCCCTGTATCCCTAAATCCCTGTATCCCTAAATCCCTGTATCCCTAAATCCCTGTATCCCTAAATCCCTGTATCCCTAAATCCCTGTATCCCTAAATCCCTGTATCCCTAAATCCCTGTATCCCTAAATCCCTGTATCCCTAAATCCCTGTATCCCTAAATCCCTGTATCCCTAAATCCCTGTATCCCTAAATCCCTGTATCCCTAAATCCCTGTATCCCTAAATCCCTGTATCCCTAAATCCCTGTATCCCTAAATCCCTGTATCCCTAAATCCCTGTATCCCTAAATCCCTGTATCCCTAAATCCCTGTATCCCTAAATCCCTGTATCCCTAAATCCCTGTATCCCTAAATCCCTGCATTCCTATCTTCCTATCTTCCGAAATCCCTATATTTCTTACTCCCCAATTTCTAAATCTCTAATTCGAAGTTTCAAACTTCCTTCACCTAAAAATTCGAAAATCACCACCAAAGAAATTAACTAGTAATAGAAATTTCTTGCTCTGCATCGCCTCATTGGGAACAAAAACCCACCATACTTTTCAGTGCACCCTTACATCACACTACAATATAATAAATATCCACAGAACACATAGCACCCCAATTAAAATACAACATTTAGCAATTAACCAAGTCTAAATTCATACACAAATCTTAATTAAATGCAATCAATTATCTACAATTACAGTTTATACCCTTATTTAATCATTACCCCCATATGAAACTAATCTTCCTTCAATCTCCACGTTACAGGTACGGTTTCCAATTGGATCGTACACCAGTGAAGAACTGCGAGCACCTCAAATTCGGATGTGACGCTTACTGGGAATGTGCCGCGAAACACGACACGGCACCAGAAAATCACCAAGCTGGTTCTTGCAAAATGGGTCCACCAGACGATCCTCTGGCTGTCGTGGATAATCAATTAAGAGTCAGAGGTGTGAGAGGTGTAAGAGTGGCGGATACTAGTATCATGCCAAGGGTGGTTTCCGGTAACACTAATGCACCTGCTATTATGATCGGCGAACGAGTCGCTGACTTCATAAAAAGGACCTGGATTGGCTGACAAAAATCCTTACGTTAAGAAGAGTATCCTTTGAAATCAAAAATCTTCACTGAAAAATATTTTTAATTGACCACCGCCGAACGTCGTATCAAAAAAATTGGTATTTTGAAAATTGTTGAATAATGAAAATTTGTGAATTTACGAAATGAGGTTAAGAATGTTTTTCCTCATTATTTGAAGAAATAATTGAAATTGATGACTAAATTATTTATTAGGCAAAATAAGTAATTTGCTTAATATGAAATGAAGTGAAAAGTATGTTCCTTTGTATTACGAGAAGAATTACAAATTGTAATGATAAAGTAGTTGTAAATGTTGAATGTTTTTTAATGAGTTAAACATTTTTAATTTCTTGAATTTAAATACTTCGATGTGGTGGATTTAATTAGAAATTTCTTTCAGTGTTTCAATGAAAAAGGCTAAGGTAGCGCTGTGCGCATTCGATCATCGTAGAAAATAAAAAATTAAAATAATTCCTATGGAATACGAATCGAATACAAATTCTTAAAGCTTTTCTGTAACATACAAAAATTGAATTTTGCACGGTGAATTTGAAAAATTTTTAATCGTTTTTCGTTGTAAAGGCAGCTACCTCGGTTTTAAGCCCATTTTATTTAGAAAAAAATATTGAGAGCTATTGTAAATAGTTCGATAGTATTAAATACAAATATTTTAATAGATACATGTAATTTGCTGAGAAAGATTATCAAAAATTGTCAATGAAGTGAAGAATACAATAATAATACGAAAAAATTTTTTTAAAAATGTCTTTTGACAAAATTTATAAAATGATGCATATTATTCTGACCATAATAAAAAAGTTTGATTACTATTAATAAATGTCTGAATGCAATGTAAGAAAAAAGAAATAAATGCAATTAGAATATTTTGCGATGAAATAATTTCATACACCTGATTAATTATAAAACAGTCCTTTATTTCATTCTTACACTGTCAATATAATATATACTGTAAATATGAAACTATAAATTTTAATGAGACTAGATTTGCTGTCACTTTTTATCATATGGAGATATCTTTTAATATTCCATAAAAAATAATGCATAACAAGATACTTAAATGAATTATAAATTAAAATACACAATATTTCATTTATAAATTACAACTAGTAAACTATGCAGCACTTTTTATACAAAAAGAAATAACGTAATCTAAGATCGAAGTAGAGTCAGTCTAGTTTTATCGATTTTTTCTTATTTTTATCTGGTTTTTTATCTAATATTATTTTTATCTAATTCCATCTAATTTTATCTCAATTTTATCTAACTCTATCTCATTTTATCTCAATTTCATCTAACTTTATCTAATTTTATCTTATTTGTATCTAACTTTAACTAATTTTATCTCAATTTCATCTAACTTTATCTCAATTTTATCTAACTCTATCTAATTTTATCTCAATTTCATCTAACTTTATCTAACTTTATCTCACTTTTATCTAATTTTATCCAAAATTTATCTAATTTTTATCTGATTTATATCTAAATTTTTACCCAATTTTATCTATTAATCAACTTTTGTATTTAGAAACCTTGAAAAGTTTTGGTAAATCAATTTAAATTAAATTCTGCAAGGAAAGTTAGTTCCAGGTAACAGAATTTAAAAAAATTTTAATCGAAAATAAAATCAACCATATCTGTTGCATTTATACATTCTCCTGATTTTTTGAATATCTCTCTTGCTGAAACCTTCTCGTTGACCCAGTTTAATACTGACGTTGTCTTGGAAATATTTATCAGCGTCACTGAAATAACCATTTGGAGTCTGCAACATTGAAAAGTACGATCGATAAAAAATTATTTTTAGTATCGTGATATCCTTGCACTTTTCACAGTCAAAGTAATAATAAAAATACTTCATTCTTTAACGTTGCAGCAATCATATCCGTTAAAGCGGTGAATATATCAATTCTTGTTATAAAAAAATCATCAGAGAAGTTGTGAAAATATTTTAGTCGAAATATATGTTTACTTTCGAAAGAATTAATTTTAATTTGCGTATATTGTAAACGTTTATTCAGAGAAATCTTATTTGATATGTAACGATTATCCAATTTTATAATATCTGATAATTAGGAACTGTATATAATCATTTTTCTCTAAATTAATTTGAAAAATTAAGATTTTAATAATAATCACTTCTTTAATATTTAACTATTTATGCATTACTTCAGCATTTAATACTGTTATCTGGAGATTTATTTATTATTTTCTTAACAGTTAAATACATTTCATTGTTCATACTTACTCTCGGTAATATAGTCGGTTTTCCATTTTTCGAAAATGCATACGATGAATAATGCATCACGCTATTGTAATCGTAACCAACACCGAAGTCGTCTGTGGTTTCTTTCGAAGCCTTTTGGAAATTGTTATCATGACCTAATAAAGAGATATTTTACATTTATTATTAATTGTAGAACACAAAGCATAAGAACAATGTTACAATTCACAATTTTACAATAATAATCTTACAGTAACTGTACTGATCTTACAGTTTTCAATTGTTTTTCAAGTACTGCTATAATCTAATAGAATCAATCATATCTTAAATATAAAATTACTGTCAGTTAATAATAATCAATGATTTGTACCAATATGAAAGAAAGTTTTCATTATTAACACAAGACATTAAATAATTGTATAATAGCTTGCAAATAATTTTAAATACACAAAAAGCAGCGCAATGAAAATAAAAATAATTTTGAAATACGCAAAAATATCGTGTATAAATAATTCTTAAATTTCAGCATTGCAAAAGTATCAAGTTTAATATAAACTTGAAGTTAAAAAAAAATAACGCTAACTTTTCTTGATGCAATGATACTGCTATGATTCTTACAAAGTATGATAATTCTTATTAATGCAAATAATTATCGTAAACAAATAATTTGTTTCTCAAAACCAGAAACATTTTATATCACTATCGTTATGAATAATTGTTCTCATAAACTCTCTAAGTTCTAATGAACTCTCTTTGAAAGAACACAAAAGAGTTGATAACCCTCAAAATGAGAAGAAACAATAAAGTGAAACAATGAGACCGAAATAATGAAGAGAAACAATAGAAATCTGAGCAGATGAAAATTACCATTAAAAGGATTCCATAAAAACGCTTCTACACAAAAAGTTGTACCAACTTTGTACCAAATTAGAAAACAAACATTGCTATTCTAAATATCTTAAAATCTGAATCTACTTATTATTTTTTAATATCACTTTTCCTCACAACTTAACTCTGTACCTTTTTTTAAAAACTTGTGTATTTCTAATTACTTGTCACTCAGGTCACATAAAAACAACTGTTAAATTCAGATTGGACTTCCTTCTGCTGCAGAGAAATAAATGGAAATTTCCTATTTTAATTCGAATGTCAAAAACGTCTAAAATAACTTTTTAATTTCAAAAACTTCTAAAACAAGACCTCCTTAATTTCTGTTCGAGAAAGAGCATATACAAAGAAGAAAGTAAAGTGGTTGGAAAGTTTGTAAACCCCAAAGAACAGACACGTTTAATAACAAATTCTGTAAAAGCAATATTTTATAATTTATCTTCGCTGGTAAGGGTTTGCAAATAAGGATTTTATTGGAGGGATGTTATTACTCTGAAAAGTATTTTATTACCTGCCAGCATCGCTTTCAATCAATTATAATTTTCGTTGAAATCTGAGCCACATTTATTTTTGACAAAGTAAACAATTCGTAGCTAATTTTGAAATAGCAGTAAGGGTTTTGTGCATTGATACTAAAACAAGGTACTTCATTGAGTATTTATTAGAAATTGAACTAGAACTTGTGAGCTGATAAGAAATCAGCTGTGATACTTACAATTAAAGGTCTGTAGATCCTCACTCATATTGAGGTTATGCAATTATTATTTTTATTAACCAGTTAATTGTGTTTGACAACTATATCCGTCATGGAGATGTGGCAGAATTTGGTGTCATGACGACTATATCCGTCATGCTGTAAAATTTTGTTACAATTTGATATTTAAATTATAATTTTGGCGAAAACTAAGTTATATTCGTAAATTGTAATATGTTTAAAATGTTTAGAGGTTAACACGAAATGAAATAAGCAAATAAAAAGTGTAAATGATTTGAGATGGATTCATAAATTCTTGAGAGTTAACTCGTAACCACTTGATTATCGCGATACACACTGGTGCGCGCTTTGCAAAAAGATCACCACAGTTAACTGGTTAATTTTATTAAAACTATTATTGAATATTATTTTGTTTATTATTAGTTTTTCACGGTATTTTCAGTATTACTAAAATTCACCGAAGCTAAATGCCTACTAAATAATATATTTAGCTAACAATAAGAATAAGTTGAACCTAGGGTGAACTTGTACTAGTTTCATAATAAACATCTTTTCAATACAATTAATTGACCAAACTTTCATCCTCGAAATGTTAGCAAATTTAACTTATTTTTACTATAGATTATTTACAGATAAAGATACCGTATTAAATTTTATCTATTCTTATAATTACCTTCAATTCTCTCAAGAATGAATTTGCTCCTTCAAAGTAGGCTCATATGGCTAACAATTAACCCCTTCCACTTACAGCTCAAATGTAACAAACCGACTCAAATTTTGGATACTCTTCTCCAACTATAAGTTGCATTATCAATAACAATTAACCCCTTCCACTTACAGCTCAAATGTAACAAACCGACTCAAATTTTGGATACTCTTCAACTTGAAATTTAGATCCAACTATAAGTTGCATTATCAAGGATCCCTGAATATAAAATACTTACAACATTTTAATTTTCTTTGTTCATTTTAATGATATAGCCCTGAATAGTTAGACTTGACTGACACATCTGATAAATAAATGGCACGGGAAGGGATTAAAAGTGTAAAGAGATTAAGTTACCCTTGCTTTACAATATGGAGTTCAAATGAAATTAATGTTCCAAAGATAACATTTTGCAAGCTAAATGTCAAAACTCACCGTGTAGAATATTGTTCCATTGTATGGAGACGAACTGATCCCTCTCGAATCTGCTCTGCTCGTGCAAAAACCCTATAGCGTGCATCAGTTCGTGAATCACGGTACCCTTTCTCGTTACACAGGCAGGAACTTGAAGATTCACGTTTTGCCAACCACCAACTCTTCCCACACTGCTCCAGCAACCACTATTACCAGCGGTGAACCTGATGTAATCAGTCTCCACCCCATGGTACGGCTTAAATCTGATACACGTGTACTTATGGTAATCGTTCATTGCCTCGTAAATCAATCTTCGCTGATCAGCGTCTGTAAACAAGGTTCGTGACTTGTTGGACCATTTTCTGTGAAACTTTCTAGGAATTTTCTGTGAACAATGCTAGTTAATTGATAGTATTACCATTGGAACGATTGGGAACATTAGCGTGAGTTGGATTTTTGCCGGGGGTAGAGTAAGTCGTGTAGTTTTGTTAGTAGTGTTTGTATATTAGAAATGACGAAGTGATTTTAGGATATTTGGATATTTGGGAATTTGGGGATTTGGGGATTTGGAGATTTGGGGATTTGGGGATTTGGGGATTTGGGGATTTGGGGATTTGGGGATTTGGGGATTTGGGGATTTGGGGATTTGGGGATTTGGGGATTTGGGGATTTGGGGATTTGGGGATTTGGGGATTTGGGGATTTGGGGATTTGGGGATTTGGGGATTTGGGGATTTGGGGATTAGGGGATTTAGGGATTTGAGAATTTTGGGATTTGGGGATTTAGGGATTTGAGAATTTTGGGATTTAGGGATTAGAGGATTTGGGGATTTGGAAATTTGAAGGTTTGGGAATTTTAGGATTTAAGGATTTTGAGATTTGGAGATTTGGGGATTTGGGGATTTGGAGATTTGGAGATTTGGAGATTTGGAAATTTGGAAATTTGGTGATTTAGAAACAGGGATTTGGGAATTTTGAGATTTCAATTTGGGAATTTGGAAATTTGGGAATTTGGGAATTTGGGAACTTGGGAATTTAGGAATTTGGGAATTTGGGAATTTAGGAATTTGGGAATTTGGAAATTTGGGAATTTGGGAATTTGGGAACTTGGGAATTTAGGAATTTGGGAATTTGGGAATTTAGGAATTTGGGAATTTGGAAATTTGGGAATTTGGGAATTTGGGAACTTGGGAATTTAGGAATTTGGGAATTTGGGAATTTAGGAATTTGGAAATTTGGAAATTTGGGAATTTGGGAATTTGTGATTTTAGAGACTTGGGATTTTAAGATACAATAATTTCGGATTTCGGAAATTTGAAGAGTGAGAATTTCGAAATTTGGAAATTTGTGGCACTGAATTTTTGAAGTTTGCATATTTGGAAATTCTGAAATTTAGATATTTGAGGTCCAGAAAATTGGAAAAAGGGAAATTTAAGAATTTGTGTTCTTAAAAATTTGGATAACTGGAAATTTATAAATTTAGATATTTGCGAATTTGGTAGTTTGAATTTTCAAAAATGGAAATATAAGAATTTGAAAATTTGTGGAACTGATAATTGCGGAATTTCACAGTTTAGAGATTTAGGAATATAATAAATTCTAAATTTAGAAATATCAAAATTTCAGACCTTGAAATTTAAAACTCTCGTAATTTTAAATCAGTAAATTAAAAATTTGAGAAGTGTAGAGATTTAAGAATTTAAAAACTTGAGTTCTTACAAAAATTTTGAAACTTGAATAAATGTAAAAATTTGAAGATTTATAAATTTGAGAATTTTAAGATTAGGTAATTTTGAAATTTGGAGGCATTGTAACCTAATAATACAGTAATTTCGAAATTCATAATTTTGAATCATGTTTTATAAAGTTTCTATATGACGAAAGACATCCATTACAATTCAGTTATAAATGTCTTTATCCAACTAGAAAATTTATAGAAAATATTTACCAAATATAATTATCGAAATAAATTACCATCTACTTCTTAGTAAAACATTTTATTTTTGTACAAATAAAAATTTGTACAAACAAATTACGCAAACAAAAAATTATATTTTGAAATAAATTAACGTAAATGTTAATTCCATTGCAATTAAATTCACTAAAATCATACGATATTAAATAAATTTGAATACAGCGTACAAAAATTGTTGGTACCGAGCGTGTTTAACGTACTGAAAGCAAACATTTGGAGGTTGAAATGAAAATATTTACGGTGTTATGATACTTTTTTAATTAAACCATTTCAAAACAACCTACATACGTCTGTAACCGTGGAATCTAATTAAAACGTAACAAATTGAAACTTCACTGCAACACTCGTTCATTCCGACATACGGGAAGAGAAATAATTGCTTCGCAGGCATGTAATTAACTCTCGTTTCCCGGAGCTTGTAAAACGTTTCCAACTGTAAGTGGTACATTGTTGACTATATTGCAAAGGTACAAACATGAACCCTATGATCTCCGGAAGGTATTCCTCTTCGTTTGAATCAGCTTTTCAAAATTAAATTAAATTTATCAAATTAAATGGGTTTGACGAGGGATGTTACGGATAGAACTGGCCAATTGAGGCATTTCAGAGCATGGGATGAGAATTTAAAGATAAACATAAGATTTAATGAATTTAGCGGGGTTTTCGGGGACGACTGGTCAAAAGCAGCAGGCATGGCGAGTTTCCATGCCTCGAAGCCCTACGTGCACGGGGAAACCTGTGGCCGTATTCGTCGAACACCATGAGTGTCTCGGCATGAAAAACACCATCGTAGCACCGGGGGTAACCAATCCGCCCGGGAGTGGTGGTGCTCACCAAAACACCGAGGGCCACTCCGCTCGGGAGAGGTGAGAACCCGGGCGGGGGCGAGCTTGCTTGCCCTGCGCTCCGGCTAGCTGTCTGCGGGATCGGTCGCACTCGAAGACGATAGATAATTAATTTTTCTAAGAAATGTACACGTGCGTGGTGCACGTGGCAATGGCACGTGGCAAAAGTGGCACGTGGCACATGCTCTGAAATTCCGAGAAAAATGCCAATTAATAAGTATTTGATCCACCGCGAAATGCCGGCGAACCCAGGTGCGTACTTCGGCAGAAAAGAAAGACACTCCTCGGCGACGTCTCCTGATGCGTAATTTTCGAGAAACGAGTACAAAGGCGCGGACCGCTCCGTTTGACGGCGGGTACCGGCAAGTGCCGGCGCGACATCGGTATCGGCGCGCGGCGTGGCGGCGCGGCGGCTCGGCCGCAAAGGGCGGGCGGCATCGCAAGGATCGGTCGTAGAGGGATGACCGCGAAGCCAAGGTCGACGGAGGGCACGTGGCAGATTTCGAAGAAATCGGGTGGTTGCTAGGAGACGTCGTAGGGGAGTGAAACGTATAAAATAGGCGAGGGCACCGGGCCCGCTCTTCTCTTCGATTCATTCTCTTATATTTGTTGCTACGCGCTTCTTTCTTTATATTTGTTGTTACGAGGCTTCACTTATAACTTGTCACTACGGGACATACTTGTTGTCATTACGGACTTTACTTGTATTTGCAAAGACTTTCGTTGCGGGATCAAGTATTTCGGTTTTGATTGTAATATTGATGTCACTCGCAGACTAAATTATAATACGTGTGTTATATAATAATTGAAATAAACTGTGCGTATTCACCGTCGGAAAATTGAGTTGTTCTGATACAAGGGATATCACCCAATTGTTACACGACGATTTTTATGAAATTTTATCTATACAAATTTTTATCTGTACAGTATTTTATCTATACAATTTTAAAAAATATTTGATATATATTTTTTTACGTGCGAATATTCACTTTGAGGTTGTGAAAATAACACTTAAAGTTGGTGTTGAACAAACTATTTTCACAAATATTTCGGAAAGAATTAGACCTAGATAAAGATTTTGCAAATAATGTTATTTATTTGATTATATGATTATATTATTTGATTTATAATAAATAATGTTAATTTTTAACATATTTTTTAAATAAACAAATTTTTCAAAAATTCGCTTACGCCATTATTAGTGGACTTCCAATACGAAAAAATTTGTATTTTGAATTTATTGTCTAGGTCTAATAGTTCCTGGGACATTTGTGAAAATAGCTTTTTCAACCCCAACTTTAAGGGTTATTCTTACGACTTCAAAGTGGATATTCGCATGTAAAAAAAATATGTGTAAAATATTTTTTCGAATTCTATAACATGTGAAAGTTTTATTAACATCGGCGTGTATCAGTTGGGTGATGTTCCTTGTAAGTGTCACAAACTTTAGGCTACTATAGATCTAGATTCCTATATTCCCAAATTTCTATATTTTCAAATATTTGTACTCCCAAATTTGTACATTCCCAAATCAATATATTCCCAACTCGGTAGATTCCAAATTCCCTATATTCCTAAATCACAATACCTCCAAATCAGAGTAAACCCGAATCACTATATTTCCAAATTGGATTTCTGAATCCCTACATTTTCAAATCCCAATATCCTCAAATTCCAATATCTCCAAATTCCTATATCCCCAATTCCCACATTTCAAACTTCCTAAATCCCAAAATTTCTTTTGCCCTAAGATTGTATATTCCCAAAACCCTTTAACCCCAAATCCCGATATCTCCAAATCACAATACCCCAAATCTTTATATTCCTAAATCTCTAAATTCCAAATTTCTATATTTCCAAATCCCTATATCTCCAATGCCACAATTCAAACTTCCTGAATCCCCAAATTTCTTTTACCCCAAAACTCTGTATTCTCGAATCCCTTTAACTCCAAATCCCAATAACTCCAAAACTCTATATTCCTAAATCTCTAAATTTCCAAATTTCTATATTTCCAAATCCCTACATCCCCAATTCCACAATTCAAACTTCCTACATCCCCAAATATCTTTTACCCCAAAACTCTGTATCCTTGAATCCCTTTAACTCCAAATCCCAATATCTCCAAATCACAATAACCCCAAATCTTTATATTCCTAAATCTCTAAATTTCCAAGTTTCTATATTTCCAAATCCCTATATCACCAATTCCACAATTCAAACTTCCTACATCCCCAAATATCTTTTACCCCAAAACTCTGTATTCTCGAATCCCTTTAACTCCAAATCCCAATATCTCCAAAACTCTATATTCCTAAATCTCTAAATTTCCAAATTTCTATATTTCCAAATCCCTACATCCCCAATTCCACAATTCAAACTTCCTACATCCCCAAATCCCTTTACTCCAAAACTCCATATCTCCAAATCCCGATATCCCCTAATCCCAATACTCCCAAATCTCTATGTCCTCAAATTCTCACCCCATACTCAAATTTTCAAACCTCCAAAAATCCCTAAAAACGACCAAAAAATAAAGTATTAGCCCTTCTCTCCTTAGTTGTCACATTTTCAAAATTCACCTCCTAAAGAATCCAAATTTAACCTTAATCATACAAGTGCACGATATTACATAACAAGAAGCTAAATAGCAATTCATCTTGAAGAACAAACTCACCGAAATACGGACTAATAACATATGGCACGACGCCATTCGGCCATCTTGCGGAACTCGCTCTCAGACCGTTCCTTCCGGTTCCCATCGGAAACAAAATGTCACCCTCCGCATAGGAACCCAACTCTTCCGGGTTGCCAGTCACGTTCTCATTCCATTCTGCTACTCTTCTTCCAGTTTCGCCGTCAGGTAGACCGTACAAAAAATCTTCAAGGTGTTCGAGATGACCACTCAAGTTATTAATGTCATGGATCTCGCTATTTATGGCACCTGGCCGCCGAAATGGACGCGTGGACGTCAAAGTTATGAAAGCAAATATCAATAATACGAAGAACATCTTAACCATGATCCCAAGAACAATTCCAAACGTTTCGAAACGGTTTAATGGACGGATGTGAAATTGTGATGGAACGAATGATATTCGTTGTGATAAGAAACTGGCTAAAAATGATCGACGTTCTTGTCCTTATAACCTGCGAAAAATGGGCGTGACGGATGTGATCTTGAATTGATGCTTCCGTGCGGAAGCAATCAGGGACACTCATTGATAAGAGTCTTCCGATTTCAGGTGACAAAAAGACGTTATCGGCAACTATTGAGTCTCGAAGGTGTGGTTGGCGAAGTGACATCCTTGGAACGTGTGTGTTCTTAGAATCTTGAAGGTCAATATTGTTTGATTTTTTTATCTTCGATAGAAAAATAGTAGGTGGAAGTACTAAATGGTACTAAATAGTGGAAGTAGTTTGAATTTGTGTACAGGGTGACTCAAAAATTATGGTACGAGGAATATATCGGTAATGTTCTTTAAAAAATAAGTCAAAGAATATTTTTTCATATTGGGTTTTATTTTTAAAAAAAGTAAATTTAAACATTTTTTAATACATTTGTAAGGAACTTTGATTACGATAAGAAGAATAGTAATTTCATTCATTGTTTCGTTAATTTTGTAATTAATGAATATTATTAATTAATAGCGGTATTAATTATGTATTTATTATTAAAATTCATATTTAACAAAGAATATTTAATATTTTTATTTAACATTTTATGTTAACGATTCAAAATATATATTTTAACATATATAAAGTAAAAATATTTTTTATTTCTTTTATTTTACTTAATGCGTTACTATACTGTTTATTTCAATTTGCAATCTAAATATAATCGAATATTCTCCACTTTCGAGTCATAACAATAATAATACCACATTTTCAAAATAATGAAACAACTACATTTTGTTAAAATTTCTCCCAAAACTAAGCTTCGCAAATTTTTCAAAGAACACTCCGTTAAAACAAACATCAAAATGATTAAAAACTGTACAATGATTGATTTGAAAGATTGTAAGCGAGACTTTAAGTGGTACAAAATGAAAGAGAAAAAGCAAAGTTACTTGAGTGCTAATGACACTTTGATGAAGCTGTGACAATGTTTCTCATGGCTCATAATGATGCGGCCAAATCGACCCTGAGGTTTTTGCGCATAAAATTCTGTGATGTGTTTATTGCTTATTACATTCGCATGGTCACACTTTCTCGTGTCACGCTAAAAGAAAACACTTATCATCGAAAAAATAATATATTTAATAAATGAGCTGTTACTAGAGAAGCTGTGTACGTGACTCTTTTCATGTATCTTCGCGAGGATTGCTTTTTTTAAATTCATGAGTGGACTATTGTACATTCTAGTATGTACCAAGAACTTATGCAAAAAAGCGTAAGATGAATGTACACGGTGGAATCTTTCTCGTACGTAAGAAATAATCAGTGATTAACCTTTCTTAATATACTTTTAAATACTTATTCTGTAAAATTTGCACGAGTGATATAAAACGTGTATTTGTACATCATAATAATAATGTCAATTGTAAGCCATTGTGAATCATAAAAACAAATAGGAATTATACAATAAATTCTTCTGTAAAAAAACAAATTAATGACGTAAAGAGATTGTTCACCTTTGTTCTCTAAGATTGATTGATTGATTGATTTTATATGAGCCTCGACTGCTATGATCATTGACCCAATTATTCTCTAAGAGGATAACAATTTGTGTAATAAATTTTTTTTATTATCAAATAAGTCAAATGTGAAATTTATTACAATGGTATTATTCGTGATATGAAATAGGATCTGTTAACATAGCACATTCAGAAATGGATATTTATAAAATTTGCACGAGAGATACAAAACGTGTATTTGTACATGATATAAATGTTAATTGTAAGCCATTGTGAATCATAAAAACAAATAGGAATTATACAATAAATTCTTCTGTAAAAAAAAACAAATTAATGACGTAAAGAGATTGTTCACCTTTGTTCTCTAAGATTGATTGATTGATTGATTGATTTTATATGAGCTTCGACTGATATGACCATTGGCCCAATTGTTATATAAGAGGATAACAATTTGTGTAATAAACTTTTTTTATTATCAAATAAGTCAAATGTGAAATTTATTACAATGGTATTATTCGTGATATGAAATAGGATCTGTTAACATAGTAAATTCAGAAATGGATATTTGTGAAATTTGATATGATTGCGATTCGGCCAATACTAATTTTGTAACCGCAACCTTAATTTTCTTTGAAATGATTATTATGAAATATTAATGTTTAATGGAACATTGAATCCGCCGTAATAATTTAATTAATTATTCACTTTGTATTCAACGCAATTATTGCAATTTAAAATGTATTATAAAATCGTGATAAATCAATATTAATTTTCAGAAAGACGTCTGCTATATAAGAACGTAAAATCATGCCACCCTAACCTATTTATAGTAAGCTGAACTATGCTCAGCAAAAAGTATTGCAAAAATGAAGCCAATAATTTTATTCCCTGAATACTCTTGATAAATTGCATAATTCTCCAAACAGACGTAACAAAAGAAATAGCGACAATATTGAATCGCTCGAAGTTTAAATTGTTAATAACATTCATATATACTTAACATTATTTCCGAATATCAAAAACTACTTTGTAGGCTAAAAGTACGTGTATTATTTACATTTAATATATCTCAGATATTTTCTTTCGTTGAATCTATTTGTCTGACCCAGTTTTACTTTAGTCACCCTGAAATATTTCGCCAGAAGGCCATCAGTACGATTACAGAACTTTTATATGTATGACATGTGAATATAAAATGAAATTTCATATTTATATCTCTCGCATTCCGTTTTCCTTTCTTCTATTTTCGGATAAATCGAATTATTACGTGGGCTGGTTGATTTTCACGATCGCAGTATGCTACAAATTTAAATAATTGTTTGACAAGTGAAGGAGAATGATTCTGAATTTTATTAACGTTGTAACTTGAAATTTTAAATACGAGATTGTTAATAAATATTGTATTAATAATTAATACATATTTTATCCCTTTTTAAAATATTATACATTTGTAATTTATATAATTTTTCCTTAAATAATTTTTTTAACAGAAAATATCTATACCACACTAGTAAGAGTTCAGAAATATATTATTCAATAAAATTAAAAAACTCATGCAATGAGTGGTTAAAAAACTCCTGAACAGAAATAACAGAAGCCGTAAAATAGCGTTTTTATAAATGATAGAAAGTCCCAAACAGAAATAATGAAAATTGCTTAAAACATAGACTAATGAATACACCTATCATCAAAAAATGTAGTGTATAGTTATAGAAGAAAAAACAATAATTCTATCGAACGCATTTATTACAATATTTTATAGCATTGAATACATCTAATATTTAACAATAAAATTATTCACATTCACCAACATGCACACACAAACAGTTTCTCTAAATTTATATTTCTCTCTTTATCCATATTGATTTGCCATGACCGCTTCTAAATTCGTATCGTTTTAATAAAATCGTCATACTTTAAAGATAGAATAAAGTTTAAAGGTGAGGTAAAGCTTAATTATAAAAGACTAGATTCTCAAGTTTCTTCTTCTTTGTCGTCGATGCCAAAATCTCTATCAAGCCATCGTCTGCGGTTCCATAAATCAATAACTTCGTCTCCGTTTGCCGCATTTGTACATCTTCCGAATTTTCTGGATGTCTCTTTTACTGAAGCCTTCTCGTTGTCCCAGTTGTCCTTTATTGCCACCCTGGAATATTTCGCCAATAACACTTAGAAGGCCGCCGCCAGTTTCCTACGGACAACCACAGGACATGCAACGGGACTGAAGTACGCCATTTTGTAAAAATATTCTGTACTTCAGTGGATGTACTAGCATTAATAAATAACGTGAATTGTAATGAATTGTAATGATATGATGTGAACAAAAATAGGTTCATATTTGGAAGAAGAAGGAAAGTATACATATAAAAATAAATAGTCATTGAAAATGAGTATATTGGCTATTGTATGATGTACAATAAGTATTGTTTTTAGTTCTTGTTGAACATTTATGTCAGTAGGATTATTTAAGGAAATTTGATGTGGGAGGATAATTTAGGAATTAAGATGTTTGGGAATTTGTGCTCTTGGATAATTCAAAGGTTTGAAAGTTTGGGAACATCTTGTTATAAACTTGAGAATGTAAATTTAATGATTTGGTGATTTGTAAATTTAACAAGGTAAAAATTAGGAACTGTAGAAGTTTGAGAATTGGAGAAATTTAATAATAAGGAACTTGGGACTTGGGGAATTTGAATATTTGGATTTTGGAATCGGAAATTTTAATATTTAGAAATTTGGGAATTTGAGTATGTAGAAATTAGGGAAATTGAAGATTCTAGAAATATAAATTCGCAAATGTAGAAAATTGGAAATGTGGAAAGTAAAAATTTTGAAATATAAAAATTTGGAAGTGTAGAAGCTTGGAAATATAATCATTTAAAAATTGAGGAACATAGAGATTTAGAAACTTGAAAACTTAGAAACACAAAAATATATAAATGTAGGAATTTATAAACTTACAAATCTACAAATCTACAAATCTACAAATCTACAAATCTACAAACTTGCAAATCTACAAATTTACAAATCTATAAACTTAAAAACAGAGAAAAAAACGAATTTAGAAGTAGAAAAGTTTTAAAATTCTCAAATTTTCAAAGCCATCCAACGTTGTACTAGAATATACATCCTCCATCACCACCACTAGCAAGGGTTTAATATTTTATTGCCAGAAAGAGCTCCCCAAGTGACCTACTTAGAACTTAATGAGCTTTTGGTTGTTGATAGATCATGCCATTACAAATCTCTCTGCACAAGGAGCATATTTGGAAACGTTAGAGTCAAAGTTCACCAAAAAGACCAGAGATATAGTAGACTTAACCTTTGTGAATTTATTAATTTAAGATTTATTAATGTTGCAATTAACAATGTATTTAATCATAAATCTGGAGATTCTTCTATGCAAAAATATGAGAGAAAATCAAATATAGGAAACTTTTCTGAAATGCAAAAATAAAAATTCCATTTAATTACTTTATACTTTTCATATAGAAGTTTACAGAAAAGTAGATTACTTTTTTACTTAAAAGGAATATTAGAAAAAATAATAACTGATAATTGAAGAATGAAAAGTAAACGAATGCAGTTTTGTGTAATTCATTTTTATCTCTGAACTCTGTATTAAAAATTAAAACCTTTCTATTTATACTACATTTATAGTTCATTTATAATTTCCAAGCTATTCAACTAAGTATTTTCACCCTTTAATGTCGACATTATAAACAAAATATATCTCAAAATATATCACCATTTTTCAAGAACTACACCTTTTATCAAATTCCTTTTTTAATCAAAATTTGTCCCTCCCTTTGAAATGATACCCACATATAACACAACCTAACTATTTAACACTAGTGAAATTAGTATTAAACTTGAAGAAAATTAACGAATTCCTTCAACAGAGCTAATAATTCATTAAAAACACGATTTCGAATATAAATTTCCATAAAAACGACAAAAACAACATGTAACATGATATTATGACTAGTCGCGACATGTTAAACGAATCTTCAAGTTTACGAGATCTGTTTAAATTGTAAAATTATTTATGAGATCGCCAGGCCATGGACCTTGATGATTTCGACTTAATATATTACATGTCTACTCACTTTTGTCACTATGGTGGGTTGACCGTTCTTGGAAAACGCGTTTGCGGAATAATGCATCACGCTGCCATAATCGTAACCAACACCAAACGCGTCGGTAGTCTGCTTCGACGCCTTCGCAAAATTTCCAGTGTGTCCTAAACAGAAAAGTAAACCGTTATTGTCGAATACGTTTATTTACAAGGTTGATTACATGTTTGTAAAATTGGAATTGTCTTTTTTCTTGTGAAAAGGGTAATCGTAACAGTATATTTAATTGCAAGGATCAGTCATTCAGGGATCAGTAATGGCGGATCTCAAACGTAGAATGCTATACATAAGGTGTTTCAGTTGTTTACCAACATATTTTATATGCAAAAATAAAGATGTTGTATTAATATACAAATTTAAACGCTTTATTAAAAAATTATAACAAAAGGACAATATGAATTGCTTTGAACTATTTTGTTTTTCTATGCCACATACTGTTTATTCAAAGTTTTACTAGCATGTTCAATAAATAAAAATGGTAGAGAAATGTTATATAAAAATAGGCTGTTAAATGTTTTACTGAACGATTGAGGAATATACGAAGTATACAAATATTTGTCAACTTTCATACATATGTTGACTACTATACATTTTATAAATCAAATTGTTATCAACAGATAAATACATTTAATTGGTGCTTTACCATACCTTGTTACAGCTATCTATTTTCAGTGCAATAATCAAACCTAATAAACTTTGAAAAGTATTTAGTATTATTATTTGTTAGGATTAGCTCCAGGAAAATAAACTGCAGTGCTGAGGTGAACGGAAAATACTTTAATAATATAAAAATGTCTTTACAAAATGCGCGGTGCTTCGTTGACGAAGGTAAAACTGTAACTGTAGGACAAAGCATCGTGATGCGTGTTCGGACGCGCATAGCGCAGTTCATTTGTTTTGTCCGTTACTTCCAACACTCCCCCTCAAAACAAGGATGTACGCTTATCGCTGATGTATACAATGTTTCGCTAATTAATTACTACAACGCATTTATTTACAATGTCGATCGTTATACATAAAAGACGCGGTACATTTCTGATGACGCGGGCCGGTTAAACCTTTTGTTAATACGTCCGCGATCTGATCGTTTGACGCTTTGTAAAAAACTTTTATTTCGCCGTCCTTTAATTTTTCT